ATATTTATGGATGAAAAAATTATCTAAGATAGAGCCACCTAAATTGTAGATCATCTTCTAGTCTTAATAAATTTAAATTTTATCATAGCTTATCAATTCGTGACTAATATGAGCAAATTTGGGGAGCTTTTAATATTGGATTAAATACTAAAAAGTAGCTAAAAAAATTTAGTTCAAGTCGATTTTTTTGCCAATAGTTCTTGATTTAAGCGTAGTCTTTGGAGAATCGTCTAGTTTATGTCTAATCCATGAGTTAGTAGACCCATCTATTTATTTAATTTTTAATTATATTTATTTTTTTTAAATTCATAACAAAAATAGGAATTATGTACATATTTGTTTGGTATATTTATTAACAATTTTAAAATTAATTAAGAAATTATGTAGTTATTCTTAAAAGAATAAATTACATTGATAGTTCTTATATTTTAACTGTTGTATCATTTTTGTCCTTTCAATTTTAATTTGCTTGATTTTGATCCTGAATTTATAATTTTATCTCAATTTGGTCTAATTGTTATAATTGCTAATTTTTTTTTTATTGAAAATACACATATGAGTAGCATCCGTTATAATTTTATAAATAAATTATAAATTTGTTCAACTCAGTAAATTAATGTCAACCAACTCAATAACTATTTTATTTTAAAAACCTTAACCGGCATTATCAATCGGACCAAATTGATATAAAATCTAAAATTAATGGTCAAAATCAAGTTAATTAAAATTACAGAGATAAATTGACACCATAGACAAAATGCGAGGACTATCAATATAATTTATCCTTCTCAAAAGATATATTTATATCTGAAAAACTATTTAAGACCAGATTAGGCTAAAACCTAAATAAAAAATTAATGACTTATTAAAAATATTTAATAATTATAAATTTAAATTTGATCAATTTTTCATTTAATTTTTTTCGTAATAGAATTAGGTTGTTTGATAATTATAATTTATAATTCCAATATTTCTTTGTATTTTTTTTAAATTATATATAATTATAATTTCTTTTGGAAGTTTCCTTTTCAATCTCAAATTAGTTATAACTTGAATTATATATAATTTATTTTTGACTTCTAATCTACAAAAACTAACAATGAACATAAATTGTTTTTTTGAACATTGTAAAAAATAAATAAAGAAATATATTATCAATAATAATAATAACAAAACATATTTTTATTTATTATGTGATATCTCACCACTACATTGATAATAAACATTCATAATAAAACTCATTACAATAATACAGTAATATATCAGATGATAGATAACATGTGATCACAATAATTTTTTATAATTATACAAAAGTATCCAAAATGATATATAATAAAACAACATATGATCTATATTCAATTTTTATATAGTAAAATCCATATTTAATCTCAACCACACATTAGTTTTCTAAATCAATTCATCACCCAACCTATCTACTATTCTTTTAAGTAATATTCACATTTTCAAAACTCACTCAAACAATACTTTGACTGAGCTCATTATCATCCTTGTTGTTGTCATACTTACCACTTCCACTAACTACTACACAACTCCGGTATAATTTTTTATTTTTGCAAATTTAAAAAGATATTGTTAGGGAAATAAAAAGGTACCGTTAGAGTTTTAAAGAGTTAAAAATAAAAAATGAAAAAAAATTGTGATTTTAGTTTTTCTTATTCCATATATGGGTGATAATTTTTTTTAAATCCATAAATTATGGAACATTGTTCATTATTTAAAATTTTATTTATTGATGAGCAAGTCAATTAAATGTTTTTAATTTTTTTACAAAAAAAAAATTGAAAATTTTGTTTAAGAAATTAAAAAAATGGTCAAATCATAAAGACTAATATAAGACGTTATATTCTATTAAAAAACTCATAATTGTATTATCAATTTACGTACATCAAAAATAATAATAACAACAATATAAAAAGTACACAAACTTCCACCAAAAAAAGAAAAATAAAACTTCAAATTAACTCCCCAAACAAAGATAGTTAAACAGATATATATATATTTATTATCAATTTAGTTGGAAAAAAAAAAGTCATATAGAGAAAAAAATACTCACATGAAAATAGAAATTTACAATAAATAAATAAATAAATACAAACAAACAAACTTAAAATAAGTTTGGACTATTGACAAAAAGAGAGACTAATCTTTGCATCATTACATTTGGAAATGAGTTGGTCGGGCTAAAAAAAAAGATCAAATATTGACTATTTTAAAAACAGAATTGTATTGAATTTTTAATTTGATTGAGTTTTTAAAATTTTAGGATTTATATTATTTTTGGAAATGGTGAGGGTGGCTTACCATATTATTTTAAATTTTGAAATTTAAAATCATAGATAATTAGTGTCTTTATTGTTTCTTTATTTGAATTTGAATTGTTTTAATCAATATTATTTTTGAAAAGAGTGAGGGTGACTTATCATATTGTTTTGAATTTTAAAATTCCAAATCATAGATAATTATTTTTTTTTTTTTTTGGACTTAAGAAAGTAAATTTTACTTATAGCACAGTAACATGGAAGTTTGTAGATAGATTAATCCCACACTCCTATAATCCCTTTCCATATTCCTATGCAAATATAAATGTATCTTTCTATAGATAAATGTATCACTCATCATAATTATATTCTAGAAAATTGTGGATTATAATTTTCAACACTTCTTAATTCACTATTTTCGAGAAACAATTCAACCATACTTAGGGGTCTTTTTTTTTTTTTTTTTTTTTTAAATAACAAATTAACAAAATTAATTTGGGAGTTTGGAACTCCCACAATCAATGCTCTTAGAAATCTCTTTTCCTTACATATAGATTTGGTAATCCAAATAAGAGATTAAAATTTATTTTTCTCTATTTCTTTTCTTTTCTTTTCTCTTCTCGCCAAATCACTTAAACTAAACGAATACTAAAATTCTATACATCCCAATTTTTTGTTAGTGGAAATTATAAATAGTGGTATTTAAGGAATTGAATTACAAACTAGTGGAAATATCTTATGAAGAAAAATAATAACAAAAAGGTCAACCTTAAATTGACCGAAATGTCCCTCTCTCTTCCCTTTCTCTCCTCTTTATTTGGTTTGCAACTTTTAGCCGCAAGTTATCCAATCTCATTCATCTATTAGTATTCGACACCTTAAAATGTATCTTAATCTAGTTTATTAGTGACGTTTAAGCCGCCTCCCTCTGCAATCCCATACTCGACATGATGACTACTAAATGAAACAAACCCTTAAGTAGGGCCCTTAAGTAGGGGCAGTGTCCAAGTGACCTTACATTCATATAGTAAAGCCATTTATTAACATCTCCTACCCAATACGTAAACATATTAGCGCAGCTCAAATCTTCCAGCTCCTGATTGACATTGCAATGAAGGAATAAGACAACCATCCATTCACAGCATTAGTAAAGGGCTTCTTTAGCTTCTATCTATACAATCAGCCACTCACAGGAACTGTCGCTTAACAACTTTTCTTTCCACCCATTTAGAAGTAAGCTAGATGTATATTACGTAATTGAATCTTCCAAAAAATCAAGTTTTGAGACTGCAGCATCATTTTTTACCGTGTTTCGCTAACTCAAAAAAAGTGAAACCCGATATCTCACTTATTCTGAAAAGCTAAAAAGACGAGCGATTCTGTTACAAACGCATCATTTTTATTGTATTTTATACTGCCTATAAGCAATAAGTGTGGTGCCCACACAATCACACAGGGTGTACACTTGCAACATAGAAATTTCAACAGAAATTTATTTATTTATTTATTGGTGGCTATGTTTAGGGTTCAATTTCTTGATTCTTTTGCTTTGTGAATTATAGTGGTGATGGGTGGTAGGGTAAGGATAGGGTTCAATTTCTTGATTCTTTTGCTTTGTGAATTGTAGTGTGATGGGTGGTAGGGTAAGGAGGTGGCAATGGCAGTGGCAGAACTGGTGACGATGGAGATGAAATGGGGTGCTAGTGGGAGTTGGTTGGCTTAAATTTCGGTCATGTTGTAATTTTGGCCATGCTAGTGTCTATTAGGAGTGAAAGGAAAGAAGGTGCTAGTAGTTGGAAGTGAGGTAAGACATCATGGTCGTGGTGTAGGCAATTAGGGGTGGAGGGAAGAAGATGGTTGGTGAGAGCTGGGACACGGTGCTGCTGCTAGTGATGGCTGTTGGGGTTGCAAGGAGAAAGTAGTTGGAGGATCCCTCTCTAAAAAATTTTAAGAATATTTATATCTTTTCACACACTACCTAAGAGGGTATTTTGCTCTTACATACTCTCCATTAACGATGATAACTTTTGAGACCCAGGGAGAAGCCGGAATCATTTTCTCATACTACCAACATCAAGGGAAACCCGTGTTGACAAACTACATGTAATTTTCCCTAAAATAGAAGCCAAATTCCAAATCACATCTCGTCAAAACCCACCACCTCATAAAAATGAAAAAGGTTAAAACTTCAAGTTCCACTTTTTCTTATATCAGACAACCATGCATTATTTTGGACCAAAACTAACATGGTGCTCGAAACTGCCAAATCAACCTATAATAATTATTAGGTGGGTGGTAACTAGATAGATCTATGGTTAACCAATATGGATAACCATACCTCCAAAAAAAAAAAAAAAACTAGCAAACACCTTCACAAAAAAAAAAAAAAAAAAAAAACAGACTAGAATATACCAAAACAGAGAGAACAAAACCATTGCTGATATTTTACCCTAAGAAGCTCACATGGAGTATGATATGAAATGTAACACGAAGTTCCCAAGAAGGCTATGATACAAAAGTAACACAAATTAAAAAGGCACGAGGGATGGAGGAAGATGCAACTGTACAAATCCTCTAACCTAAATGTAGGCAAATCTTCTGGGGTGTTGCAAGGCTATGCTCAAATTTGGTATCGAGTTTTTGAAGTAACCACAAATGTAAAGTGAAATAGAACAGCACATGGAACGAAATAAAATACAATCACTATCACCACAATCACAATCACCACAATTGAACTCCACACAGAGACATTAAACTAACTCTGAAATAGCAAGTGTCGAATTCTTTATCCCACCAACAGCATTAATGCAAAATAACTAATTCAAGAAACAAAATTGTGAAAAGAGTACAAATTAAACATAACAAGAACTACAAACTGCGCAATGAAACAAGAATGCTATGACATATGAGAGCGATCATCAATCTTCATCTTCACCCTCATTCTCAGCAATGTTGAAGTACCTAAGTTCATACACATTTCGATCTTTGTTGGAAGCAATAACCCGGAGCCAATCACGAACATTGTGTTTCTTCAAGTATTTCTTGGTCAAGTACTTCAAATACCTGAATTGCACAAGTCAAGAGTTGAATTACATGACAAGCCTTCAATTTGGATTGTGAGATGGGAAAAGAAAAAAAATGACTTTTAAGTTTCTCACCTAGGTGATAATAGAAAAGAAATTACTGGGGTTTCTAACCTTTTCTTTGGATGAAGACAGTTGTCTTTATAGTTTGGTGGGTAAATTACCAATAAGTCCTACTTTTTGATAGTCTCTTATTTTTATGAACAAATTTACAGTAAATAAGTCAGCTAATAGGACTGATTGGTAAGTACCTAGTTTATTTGCTTTGCTTTGTATTTAGAGAGATAATAAAGGTATTATAAAAATTTCACTTTCACAATAATTCGTCTCTCAACAAAATGTCACCAATGTGGGGAGCAAATTATAAATAAAAAATAAAAACTTCTTTCAACACTTTCTCATCGAATCTCTCATTTCAATATTTTAACTATGCTGCAAGATTGACCTTTTCCAATCCTCTAAGTTCTGAATATGCTAAATAAGGGGTTCAGCTTCTTAATCATACTCCAAAGTCACAATTATTCTCTCTTTCATACTTCAATGCATCAAATTTTGATCAAATGAAATATATAATGCAAATGTCAAGATGAATGAAGAGAATTGATGAGATTACCGCTTGGAGAAGTTGCTATCGCAGGTGACAGTGATCTTGTTCTTCTCACGAGTGACAGTGACGGAGTCGCCGAGCGCACCGGCCTTGCCCCCGACCTTGATCCGCTCCTGGAGAAACTTCTCGAGGGAGGCGATCTCCATAATCTTATCCTCCACAGGCTTCGCGCAGTCGATCGTGAACGTCGCCCCCTTCTTCTTCCCCTTGCCACCTCCGGCCGCCGCGCTTCCGCCTCGACTCATCCTCCAACCACCGCCTGCCTCCCACACATTCAACAACACACATGAATTAGTAAATGCACATATAGAGAGAGAGAAACATATATATATATATATATATAAATGTAGAGAGAGAGAGAGAAGTACCGGTACGAAGTCTGATTGAACTGAAAGGGAAGAAGATGAAGCGGCGACGAGCAGAGCGAAGATGAGGAGGGAGGCAGTGATTAGGGTTTTGTTCTTGTTGTATGTGTGTATATATATGGGTCGTTTGGGTTTGGGGATCGTAAATAGTCGGGTGGTGGGTCGCCCGAGTCGTAACCAGGTGCACCGTTTGTAGCAGTGGGGTGGTGATCCATTTGGGCAAATTCCCCCTTGTTACTTTTTCATTTAACTCTTAAATTTATTTTTATTTACTTTGATCTTTCATGCTTTATACTTTTTTTCAGTTTATTCTTAAAATTAATTTTCATTCAAAATTAAATAAAAAAATATTATAATAACTACCATATAATATGAAAAATATATTATTATATTAAAAATTAAGTTTGTATTCGAGATATGAGTTATATATAATAAAATTTTTTTATACCACGTAACTGTTAATTTGTCATTTTTTATTTAATTTTTAATGAAAATTTGTTTTAGAAATAAATTGGGAAAACTTGAAACATGAAAAACTAAATTGAAAAAAAACAAATTTTACAAACCAAAATAAGAAAATGACCAAACATAAAGGCTACAAAGTATAATTTACCTAATCCATTTTGATTCGATCCAATAATCCAACGGGTACACAATAAAACCCGAACCGGTAACTACGGAAGCCCGATAATGCACTGTAGTTTTGTTTTCAGATTTTTTTGCCCCCAAAATACTAAAGATTAATTTAGTTGAAATTTTGAAAATTTCAAAAAATAATCATAATTTCATTTTGTTTTCTGTGTCCTTTGCTTTTTTTTTCTTGTGCACAAAATAGTTTTTTCTTTTTTTTAATTTGCGAAAATGCATTATACCCCCACTGGGGGTCGACCCCCAGTGAGGTGGCGGCCCGTGATTGGGGCCGAACCGGTAACTACGGAAGCCCGATAATGCACTGTAGTTTTGTTTTCAGATTTTTTTGCCCCCAAAATACTAAAGATTAATTTAGTTGAAATTTTGAAAATTTCAAAAAATAATCATAATTTCATATTGTTTTCTGTGTCCTTTGCTTTTTTTTTCTTGTGCACAAAATAGTTTTTTCTTTTTTTTAATTTGACATTTATTTTTACTAAATTAAAATTTTGAATTTTTCAAAAACACATTCTAAAAACAAAACCCTCATATGCATCCAGATGTGAATAGTCAAACAGATTGATCAACTTAAATCGAATATTCTCAAGAAAAAAAACTAGTTAAATGAATTGGAAATAGGATAGTGCAAAATGAAAGCTTCCTTCGAAAAAAACAAATAGGATAGTGCAAAAAGATTTTAGGGCCACTATGTTTACCATTCACTATTTATTAAAAAAAAAATTTAAAATTTTGCATCATCAGGATGCTGGTTCAGGTGTACCATTCTACAACCATTTTACCGGCAAGCTCAATCACCTTACCCAGAACTTCCACTATTTGGTACACCCAAACAGGTCACTAGTATAATCAAACATGAAAACCATGTATTTCTCCCATCAAACATGCAAATCTTATTTTATATCCCCAGGGCAAAGAAACCAGAGAAAGCCAGTCCAACACACGGCCTGCGCGTGGCTACGGAAAAACACATAATTTCAGTGCCACGCCACAGTACTTTTCGAGCCAGTCAAGGCCAACAGGTGCCAAGCAGTTATACATCATTAAAACATACATAATTTTTTGTCAGAGTCATAGTGTCCGTGGTTTTTTCTTCACGAAAAACTGAAACAAGTCTCTATGACCGATTTTGTGGTGGCATCCTCTCGGATCCGTGCCTCTGGCGAAATCCCGTGGGCCTGACTACGGTATCAGACCCGCCCGCTGCCTGATGAAATGGGCCCCAAACCGGATCTCTATCAGCTTGGTTCATTGGAAACGAAGTCGAGCGGTCTCTTTCCCATGCATGGAAGCGATTCGAGATGGGATTTTCGGCTTCTTGGAAGTTTCGACCGGATGAAGCTGAAGGGAAGAAGTAGAAACCGCCTGTTTGATCTGAAGATGAGGTGGCAACAGGCCCAACTTGGGCCATGCCCCGATGATTGCTAGATCTCCGTGAGACAGGAGTTCGTATAGCTGGTGAATTGCTCGGTTGTTGAAAGTATGCCTGGAGAGCTTGGACACGGTCACGGGCACGAGCAACACTGCCAGGGTGAGGAGGAATCATGGATGATGGTATCGAGCTCCCTGCTCTGGCAGCAGAACTGCAAGAATGCACTAAACGCAGTCAACATTATGCCACATGGACAATGAAATTCAAATGTGAAAAATGAGGGGGGGGGGGAAGGGGCACAATCTTTCCTCTCATATCAGTATTTAATTGAGTTTTCAAAATCTGTTTTCTGTTTTCTCAAAACTAGTTTGGTCAAATAAAAACACTCCACCATTTTCCATATGATTCTCTTTTTTGGGACAAAAATACATTTTAAAAATTTGTAAGTATTTTTTTTGGTGTTTATTTTTGTCAAACGGTTGTCTAATTTTTGAAGGAAAAAAAATTCTGAAAACTCAACCAAACAGGACAACCTTGGGTATGGAATCAATAAAGTCCTACTTTGGACAAATTTTTAACATCATGAAATTGGTTTTATCTTTTCTAACTGAGAAAGAAATCATTTAAAGTAGCTTTTGGTTGAAAATGTCTCAGCCAATTTCCAAACAGCACCTGTTATCTTCATATGATTCTCTTTTTTGGGGCAAAATTTTTTGGTGTTTATTTTTGTCAAACTAATTTCTATTTTTTTAACAAACAAAAAACTAAAACTAAAACAGAAAACAGATTTTGAGAACTCAACCAAACAGGTGACCTCCGGTTGAAAATGTCTCCATTTGACATTTTAACCCAAATAAAGTATTAAAACACTACAAAATGCACGCTAAATGATTTTTCATTCACTTACTTGTGACCCATGACAAATGGATGCATAAAAGATCCCGATCTTGGTATATCTGAATTCGGCCTAGCTGCCCTGTGGGTCACAGATGGAATTGAGGGCTGATCAACACCGCCAACACGACTGCTCGATGTTGGGAAGGGAGAGGAATGGTGCTCCCAACTGTGATATTGGACGTCCATGGCAGGAAAAGCATAAGAAGCAGGCAACTCACTTGGAACGGCTGGCCCATTCCAGTGATTATTGAAATGAGAACCATCTGACACGCTCCCACCAGAATTTGATGAGGAGGGGTGAATTGGTCCTAAGTAAGCGATATATGGGCAAGGATGAGTAGCAGATGAGACAGCCGTCTGCTCAGCAAAGATAGCATGTTGTCCAAGAAGATCATGATCTGCATAAAGGCAAACGATCTTACTACAACTTTAGGTAAAAAATGCCTCCCTTGGCAAAAACTTGGGGTTTGAAAATTTCTTTTTTAGTAGCATTTTTGTAGATTTTTTTCATATTTAGTGAAATTTCTTTTCTTTTCTTTTCTTTTCTTTTTTTACAAAAGGCTTTAGACTTTCAAGTTTTACTAGACTAGACAGATCTAAAAAGTAAAAAAATATAATTAATGTTTTTTGAAAAAAAGTCCACTGAAGACAAAGATATAGCTAAAATTCACTATAGACAAAAGTTTAGAAAAAAAAAGTGGTTTTTTAGCTGTTGCCAAATAGAAAAACCCTAGTTAAAGTAGAAAGATGAAAATCTTACAAGCAGTTGATGAAAATTCCCCTTCGCTGCAAACATGGAAAACATTACACATCAGAGAAAGAAGTATTTAAACAAAGCAAGAAAAAAACATGCAACCAAAACCAAAGTACTCCAAAAAACCTTAATGAACATAGCAAAAGACTTGCCCCCCCCAAAAAAAAGAAAAAAAAAAAAAAAAAAAAAAAAGACCACGAAAGCAAAACGCTATGGTATACACCAAGAGATAAGATTAATAGCATAAACATTAAGAGCAACAAGAATAATCAAAATAAAGGGTAAATTACACTAGCCTTCCGAGTATGTGCTTTCACACAAAATATTCACTAGCTGGAATTTTAGAATTGCAGAATTGCTGGAATATTAGAATTGTGCAAGCATTAAATAAAAAGAACTTCATATCAGGGGTCACCAATGACCTCAAATCATAAATCAAACTCTAAGTAAATATCAGAAAGTTCAACAAAGGGAAATTCTATTCGCACACCAGAGAAATTATCAATACACACCATTTGTACTGTTCGGATATCAACTTCTGAACAAAGATCAAATAGTGTGTATTAAGATAAAGTGTGGTGTGCAAATAGAAATACCCCTTGACAAAACATGTGCATAGTGGCACTTAGAGGCTAACCCAAAGCACGAGGGGACTTTCAAAATTTAGTACTAAGCACCTTGTTGTTTCTAATCATGCATGGTTTACAAGTCGAGGCAAAGGACAAATATTAAATGGCTTCCACTTAACAAAAACAGATGCATTGTAAACAGATAGGACATTTGTATATCTAAATTGGATCAATGAATGAAGAGCCCTAACCTTTCTTTTCCCAGTTCAAGCCACAATATATTTTTTCATTTTCAACCCCTCATTAAAGTTTTTGAAAATCAACTTAAGACCCTGCCATATCAGAGAAGTGTCCCCCAAAGGGACACCCATGTCCAGCAGGGGGAAAAATATTTAAAAAAAAACACATGAACGAGCCCATTTCGACAGGTGTTTGCATGCGTTAGACATGCATACGTGCCAATGCTTCAAAGATCTGACCAGATGACACCAGAACTCTCAAGTATAAACATTGTCTTCAATGAACCCTCAAGTCCAAAGAACACATGAGTCACTGGGAGAAGGAAAAAAGAAAAAAGAAAAAAGAAAAAGAGCAAACGTGAAGGACCCCTTCAATGATGCAGATGAGTATGAACTGCGACCAATTTCCAAACGTAGGTTTCAGACCAAGAACTTATAAATTAACAGGCTTCAAGGCTACAAGCAAATTCACTTGAAGAATAAAAGCATGACATAGCAGCAGCCAAAAATTCTTTTTTTTTTTTTTTTTGATAAATAAAAATTCATTTATGTCGGGCCAAAAATCTCACTTTCTCTACAATATAATGATAACGTGAAGTACGATCTTGCTGCAAAGGAAAATACTACATCCACTGAACAATTGAAAGATATATGGGTGCAGACAGGTAAGTTGATGTTGAATCATTTAAATGGTAGATAGATGAAGAAATTCAAAATGAGAAGACAAAAATTCAACAAACACGCAAATGTAAACATTTCATATACAGGAAAAAAAAATACCACCACCACAAAATTTCAACACCAAAATTGCTGGGAAATAACTACATATATTAAGATAATGTGGAAAATCATGCTTACTCGAAAGAAGGAAGTCGGGTTAATCCACTGAACGGACACCAGTGAACTCCGAAAGACTGCAAAACCATTTAGAAACCAGGAAGAGTGTACTGTGGTCAGTAACACAACTTGCTTAAAAGGAATGAGGTTGACACCCATGGATACAGCCAACAGCCAAAGGTTTGAAAATAGAATAATAGCAGCTCAACAACCCATAATCTATATTAAAATTTTATGAGGGTGCCTGACATATCGACCATTAATTAATTTTCCCAATCATTTTAACAGATTCAAGAAATACCAGTTAATTGCACCTTTCAGATCAGGGATACAACAAGAATACCAATCCACAGAAAAAAGTATTAACAAGTATTTTCATATGCTGGCAAAGCTCCTATAACTAGCAAGTATTCTGAATCTGCAAAAATTAAAAAGTCAATAAGATCATGTATTTACCATCTCTGAGTAGCTTAGATCATAAAGATCCTCATCATGGGCCCAGTCATCCATGCTAAACTCGGGAAGTGGACGGCAACCACTTGCATAAAGCCATAGACCCTTCTCAATTTTCCGACAGTTGGGGCATTGCATTGCTCCTTTTATATTAAATGCAGAACCAATGCAATCTGAAAGTAACCATGACAAGGGCATGATATAACATAAGGACCACATGAGCTAAGATATCTTAATAGCACTTATTCATTTGGATATGGGAAATTGAAAACAAAAACGTTCAGCATATGCAAAAACAAATCAGCCTGATAAATTTTATAAAAGGTGATTCTACAAACCCAGAAAATATTACCCAGAATCTACAATACAGGACTCAGATTCACTCTACACATGGACCCCCACACAACACTCACTCAATCTACACCACACGTCCATTCTGAGCACAATATGGTCTCCTAATTCTGCATTCACAGACTATTTCTTTTATAAAACACATTAATCCTTAAACCATTATGTTATCTTATCAGGCTGCAATATTCATGGGTCCATGTGCCTAAACAAAAGGATGCTTTTGGGGAAGAGTGGTGTTTTCAGTGCAATCATTCATTACCCATAAATGGGTACAATTTCAATATGACAAAAACCAAGGGTGCTTACAGAAATATTTTTAAGGGTTGATTGATACTTTAGATATCAACCATTATGTTACCTTATCAGGCTGCAATATTCCAATCAGGATTTTATCAATATTGCTAAAATTTACAAGAGTAAGTACAACCATCAATGATGAATGTTCATGGGATATACAAACTCTATTAAGTAAAATAGTTAGTACTTCAATTGCTATTGGCTTCAAGAATCAAGTAACTTTTCACAACATATGAATTAGTTGTCTGATATAGTAAAAGATGGAACAAGATAAGAAGAAGAAATAATACACGGCTGTTGAGAAAGACCCAAAAACTAAGGTTCACTCCCATAAACACATGTATTTATATTAAATGGTCCAAAGTATATAATTACCCCCAAACACATAAATGTAACAAAATTTTAGTAAAAATATAAGACCTCATATGCAGCTTTTCAATTACTTTTATAGTCTTTTTGGCCGAACTAAAAATTATGTCATCAAATAGGTCCTATTATCATTTTTATTCAAATGTGTGCTTCTTGGATTATTTTTTTCAAAGCAAAAGCATAAATATCACGGTCTTAACTCACAAAAAATGTCTTCAATTTGTAAATGAGTTTTATCCCATTGGTTAAAAATAAATCCCTTACATTCTTTGACAAGCTAGTTGGCCCTTTAATTTAGTGGTCAATAAATGGAATTAGTAGTCATTGTCATGAATATATCATGTACTCATGAACTAAAATTCACATAATATTTTACAAGATCCTTCTAAATTGCACGAAGTACATTTGTCAGAATCAGCACTGCAGCAATGGTACTTGATATACAATTGACATGTCTACAAGCTACATAAAGATAGAGTAAACCTAGATTTATAAGAGCAAAATAAGGGTGAACATTTCCACAATACATATATATATATATTGACACTATAATACTGTTAAGGAAAGGCATCAAGAGGGGATGCGTCCCATAAAAAATCACACACGCGCACACAAAAAACACCCTTGACATCTCTATATTCAAATAACTTTACAAAATCCAAAAAGTCGTCAATAGATTGGTTCATTACTCCCTAAATTCAAAAAATGCTCCGAGATTTTAGGAAAGTCTAAATGTTACCTGTGACGAAAGAAGATGGACCACGCCGGCAAATCCTTTTCCTCAGTGGTCGGACATTTGAACTGGTAGAGTCGTCGGTCGATTCGATTGGGAGTCGTAGCACAGAAATTGTGGCGAGGGGTCAAGGGCTCAGAAGGGTGGTGGTGCTGATTGGTCATGAAGCATGATGGATTGCGGCCAAATTGCGGGTGGCCTCATTGGCACCAGAAATTCTCAAGTTTCTGGGTCGACTTCGCGAGGGTAATCGCAGCGTAGCAATTTGGGTTCGAGGGGAGGAAGGAGGTGCTTCTTCAGTTCAGATAGTGGTGACGGTAGGGAATCGGAGGGGAAAAAATCTTCTTTCCGATGTCGGAGTTCGGGGGTGGGTGGGGGGATGTGGCTCTGGTTATTGAAGGTTTTGGGTTAGGGGATGGCTGGGTGAACCACTCTGGTGGTATACAGGGGAAGGACGCACTACTAGTTCAAACTATTTGCGGTGTGTCTGGAGGGGGCAAAGGCAGTTCACTCGAAGGTGGAGGCAGACTCGTTTCGTCGGTTGGACAGGTCGCTGGTGGGTCAACTTCAGGAGGTGGGTGGAAAAGGAACCAGCTATGCGGATATCTTTGACTCGGTTAGTTGGTGGTGGCAGCTTTCGGGAAAGGTGAAGGTGCGACCTCTCGACACTCAGGCATTCTTGTTCGTTTTGCCAACAAGAAGTGAGGCGGAGATGCTGTTACGGCGGCGTTGGACCATTGGTGGTCGCGATATGGATTTAGAATGGTGGTCACCTCTGGCTCTTTGTCCCTGAAGCCAGGCGTCATCATCAGTGAAGAGGGTGTGGCTCTGACTGGTGGGTTTGCCTCTTCATCTTCGTGGAGAGGAGATTTATCATCAAATCGGCAAGCAGTGTGGTGGCTATGTGGCGGTTGATGAGTCACCGACGGATTTGGCCGTTGTTCGACTGTGTGTCAGGCCTTCTAAGCACACACCATTGCGAGTTTCTATCCGATGGGGATCATGGTATTTTTTGGTGCCAGTGTGGGTGGAAGACGGGCCGACGATGGAGTCTGTTGTGCCGCCATATGTGGCGGAGGCATATCTTCGATTGGGAAGAGTAGGGCGTGATTCACGCCGACCAAATTGCGAATCCCCGAAGATCTTGGGTGTGAAGGAATATTTGCAAAGATTTGGGAAAGAAAATGTATCTGGGGTTTCTTGGTATCGGCCTCAAGTCCAGGTGGGAAACGGCGTGGGCTTTAAAGGGGAATTCAAGGCCACACATCTGGGCCCAAACAAGGCCCAAAACATTGTTAATCCAGTGGGCAAGCAGAGGCGAGGTTTAATAGTTGTTGCTAGGGGTCTGGGTTGTGTGGAGAGTGAGGTGGGCTTTATGGAATAAGAGTTCGTCCAGCCCAACCTAGGCGGTAATGCTTCACGTAAGCCTAGTAACACCAACCCAGATCTCAGTCGAGTCTTTGCAACATTGCGTGACGAGATTGGGTGCTGTCCTAGTGTCCATGCGATGGGAGTGTCGGTGGAGGATACGCCACTTCACGAGGGGGTTGTCGGTGGTCGGCCAGTGGGCATGTCGCTGTCGTTTCCTGCTCAGTCGCATCAGATTGATGTCATGACGAAGGGGCAGAGCCGTGATGAGGGGGGTTGCAAGGTCCGGCGTAAGGCAGTGGTTACGTAGGCGGAACGTCGCTGGGCTAGTGTGGCAGATGAGCTGGCCTTGGTGGTCCGAACAGAGATACCCTACAGCGGGGAGGTTGGGGTGGATGCTGGGGAGGAGGATGATGCATCGGTGACAGAAACAAAGTTTCAAGAGGAGGGCTGTCCGAGCCCAGAGGAGGTTTCGCATTGGGTTCTTTCTCGTATCCATGAGGTGAGCCAATTTTTGGGGGTTTCTTTTGAAGGGCATGAGGAAGAGGCACTGAAATTATTTTCTGCAATAGAGGGATCATGGAGGGATGGGGCTCCTACTCGGGATGTGGTGGAGCCTGTGAAACACAATGGAAAGCGTGTTAGGGAATTACGGAAACTGGAGTGTTCCATAAATTATGATCAGCAAAAGGGTGGGGATGGGTGGGGCACTAGAAAGGGTCGCGAAAATCAGTTATTGTTACAATGCGGTTAAAATTTTTTTGACATGGAATGTGCGTGGATTAAATGATAGGGGCAAGAGAGGGTTGGTTAAGTCTGTGCTCCACAGTGCGCGGGCAGATGTGGTGTCTTCAGGAGACTAAGATGGAGTGTTTGAGGGGGGAGATTCTTAGGGAGTTGTGGGGTGGTCGGTTTGTGGATTGGATGTATTTGCCCACTCTAGGGGTGGCCGGAGGAGATCTTCTTTGTTGGAATAGGAGGGTGGTGGTCAAAGAGGAGAAAGAGGTGGGGGCTTTTTCGATTTCTTGTTTATTTCAATGTGTTGAGGACGATTTCTGGTGGGCTTTTATAGGGGTATATGGGCCGGTTAGTGGATGGGAGCAGCTTAGTTTTTGGGAGGAGCTGCAATGCATTGCTTATCGGTGGGGGGTTCCATGGTGTGTAAGTGGCAATTTTAATGTGGTGAGGAGTCTGGAGGAGAAGTTGGGTGCAACTTCGGTGGTGGCTTCTATGCCGGCGTTCTCTTCGTTAATTGATGATCTGGCTCTGGTAGATTTACCGTTGCAGGGCGGGGCCTATACGTGGTTTGGGGGAGGAGCAATGTCTCGGCTTGATAGATTCTTGGTAACAAGGGAGTGGGAGGAGCATTTCTCTCAGGTGACTCAAATCTGGTTGTCTCTCCCAATATCAAATCATTAGCCAGTTTTATTAGATAGTGGGAGTATCAGGAGTGGACCGGCTCCGTTTTGGTTTGAGAATATGTGGTTGCAATCTAAGGGTTTTAAGGAGCAGGTGAAGGGTTGGTGGGACAATTATTCTGTTTCAGGCTTGCCGAGTTATCATCTGGCACAAAAACTAAATCTTCTCAAGTCCGATTTGAAGATGTGGAATAGGGAAGTGTTTGGGCGTTTGAAGGTCCAGAAGGTCAATATGCTTGCTGTGCTGTAAAAGTTGGATGTGTTAGAGGCTGTAGGGACATTATCTGAAACAGATCTCGCTCGTCGAGATGGGGGTGGTGCAGAATTTGGTCACATTGCCTATATGGAGGAGATTAGTTTTCGACAGAAATCTCGATGCTCGTGGCTCAAGGATGCGGATCGAAACACACAGTTTTTCCATCGTATGGCTAATGCTCACTGACGGGTGAACCAGATAGACAAATTGCGAGTGAATGGTATGGAGCTGTCATCATCCAAGGATATAACGACAGGTATTGTGAGTTTCTACGAACATTTATTTCAGGATGGGGAGGTGTGGAGACCAAACCTAGATGGTGTTATTTTTGATACTATTTTAGAAGCGGATAGTTGCTTGTTGGAATGACCTTTTGTAGAAGATGAGGTGTTCGAGGCTTTACAGAGTATGCCTGGGGATAAGGCGTCGGATCCAAATGGCTTTTCGATAGATTTTTTCCAGCAATGTTGGGGGGTAGTGAAGGCAGATATGATGGCTATGTTTGCACAGTTTTATCAATCAAGGGAGTTTGAGCGCAGCCTCAACGCCACGTTTATTGCTTTGATCCCAAAGAAGGGTGGGGCGGTGAATATTAGGGACTTTTGACCTATCAATCTATTGGGTAGTGTGTATAACCTTTTGGCAAAAGTGTTAGCGAATCAATTACGAGGTGTGTTGGAAGGGGTGGTTTCTGAGTCTTAGAATGCTTTTGTGAGTGGTCGGCAAATTCTGGATGCAGTCCTAGTGGCGAATGAATGTGTGGACTCTAGACTTCGGCAGGGGCAGGAGGGACTTATTTGCAAACCTGATATAGAGAAGGCTTATAATAAGGTCAATTGGCAGTTTTTATTGTATATGTTGCACAAATTGGGTTTTGGGGATCGATGGAGGAGGTGGATTCATTTTTGTATATCTACGGTGCGGATGTCGATCCTTGTTAATGGGTCTCCAGCAGGTTTCTTTCCTACTTCTAGAGGGTTACGGCAAGGGGATCCATTATCTCCTTTGTTATTCATTTTGGTGATGGAGGCACTGGGGCGTTTGTTGTCTCAAGCAGTGCAAGGAGGCCTGTTGCAGGGGTTCGCTGTGGGAGTGGATACAGTCCCTCTGACGATTTCCCATTTGTTTTATGCGGACGACGCACTTATTTTTTGTGGTGCAAATGTTGCTCAGATTAGCCATTTGCGGTGTGTGTTGTTGTGTTTTAAGGCAGTTTCAAGCCTTCGGGTGAATTTAGCAAAGTCGAAATTGATTCCAGTAGGTGAGGTGGAGACGACGCCAGTGTTGACCGCTATTCTGGGGTGTAAGGTGACGTCTCTGCCAATTGCATATTTCGGATTACCTCTCGGGGCATCCTTCAAGGCGAAGAGGGTTTGGGATAGGGTGGTGGAGCATGTGCAGCGGCGATTGGCTGGGTGGAAGAGGCAATATTTATCAAAACGTGGTAGACTCAGACTCGCGTTGATTAAGAGTGTCTTATCCAGCATTCCAACTTACTTTGTCTGTTCATGTCATTTCGGTGTCAGTGGTAAAGCGGATTGAGAAGATGCAGAGGGATTTCCTTTGGGGCAATGGGAGGAGGGTTCTCATCATCTGGTGGCTTGGAATCGGATTTGTCGTTCCAGGGTCAATGGGGGTATGGGAATTTGAAGGTTGGTCATGTTTAATGTGGCTTTGTTGGGAAAATGGTTGTGGCGTTTTGTGACGGAAAGAGACCGTCTTTGGAGGAGGGTGGTGGTGACAAAATTTGGTGAGGTGAGGAGAGGGGAGGTTGGTGTTCTGGGCGGGTGGTCCAATCACATGGCCATGGAATATGGAAAGGGATTTGGTTAGGGTGGGAGGAGTTCTGGAAGAGGGTTAAATTGAAGGTTGGAGTGGGGGATGAAATTCGGTTTTGGCGGGATAGGTGGTGTGGTGACTTGTCTTTTGAAGTGCGGTTCCCTTTGATTTTTCGAATTGCCGCTAATACGGAGGTGACGGTGGATGCTATGCGGTCTGGATGAGGGGACTCCACTGTTTGGAATGCACTTGCGTTGCAATGTCCAAGATTGGGAGCAAGACCAGCTGTTGGCGTTGTTGGGTTTTTTATATGAGTTGCGTGTTGGGGGGTTGGGGCTGGATGCTTTGGTGTGGGATTGCCCTAAGGCTAAAGGAAAGTTTTCTGTTTCTTCATTTTATAATGTGCTTGTTCATGAGGAGGCTGTTGTTTTCCTTTGGCGATATGTTTGGGTGTCAGGTACGTCGTCTAAGGTGGTCCTTTTTGTGTGGACGGCTATGTGGGGACGTATTTTGACTTTGGATAATTTGATTCGTCGTGGCCACATTTTGGTCAATTGGTGTTGCTTGTGCTACGGTGATGCGGAATCGATGGAACATTTGTTGGTTCATTATTCGGTCGTTTCTCGTCTTTGGATACTTGTTGTTGCAACCTACTTGGTTTGGGTGCAGCCGAATTCCATTAAGGCAGTTTTGCAGAGTTGGGCTCGGGGTCGTGTTTGGCGGCGGCGATGGCAGCGGAAGGCGTGGATGCTTGCCTCTCATTGTCTTCTCTGGATGGTTTGGTTGGAGCGTAATAGGCATGTTTTCCAGAGAGTAGCTCATCCGGTTTCTTGGTTAGAAAGACGCCTCCTTATGATTTTGTATAGTTGGATGACATCTTCGATTAATCCTGATGTTTTGGCTTTTGTAAATTTTGTGGAAGATTTGATTTGTTAAGTCCGTGCACCTTGGTGGCTTTCAGATTTGTATTTCTTTGCATCATCATGATGCTTTTCTAATAAAGTTTGGTTATTTATCCCCCCCCCAAAAAAAAAAAAAAAAAATTCAACAATATAGCCAAAAATTTTACTCAACTTAAAATTAAAAACTCCTTCAAAATACCTCTCTTAATTTCATTCCAAATGATAGACTAATGCAAAGCACGAAAAGAAAAAAGAGCAAATATGAAACTTTACATGGAGAACAATTTGGATTATTTGTTGACATGTTTAGGGTCAATCTGAGTCAAATTTTTATGTAGTTAGAACTTAGAAATGCTGCTGGACATATTATGTTTTATTAGATTTAGGTGTCAATGGCAGTTCAGAAATTATACAAATTACTAGACATTGTCTTATGGGTAAGTTGTGTTATTGGATCACTATATGCTATTTTATTTAAGCCTACAATATTCTAGTTGGTAAAAGTTCCTTAATTTCCTATTTTGGAGTCACAATCATAGTAGAATTGGGAGAACCAACAGCCAATAAATACATACCCAAAACTGCTAGTCAGTGATAGTGTCATTAAAGGGCACACAAATTGCCAGTAGGTTATGAAAGATGAAACAGAAATGAGATAAACAATGTCAACCTATACTTGATAAAGTTATCGAGAACATCAGTGATGCCTACTATGAACAATCAGAAAATCAAATTTGACACTTACATAAGCCCAAATAAACCTAAAACATGTCACACTAAAATCTTCACTCATTTCATGAGGATGTCAATCTACTCCTTATCAATTCTTACCTACCAAACCCTTGTCAAACTAAACTCTCAAATGGCTCAGTTTGTGTAAACAAATAGTATGATCATCCTTCATGTTGCCCATTCAAGTCAACTTCATCCAAAAAACATATTATAATCAATCCATGGATGCCCATATACTACTTGTGATCTTCAAACCAAATTTCATCTAAAACTACATAAATCTCAACCAAACACAAATTTGATCAAAACTGTCTAAAAAACCAAAATGAAACCAAATACCGCAATAATTCAACAAACATGGTTTTCAGAAATCCAATTTCAGAGATGCACATATCAGCAACTTAAATTCAGCCTTGCCACACATCACCAAAAAAATAATAATATTCAATCAGATCTCAACCAATCTCACACAAACACACAAACACACAATTCTAACATCGAATGACTTGTGTTTTGACTTACCCAGATGAAATTGATGTCCGCATTGAAGCTTTGCCCAGGATCTATCCCCATTATCGGTCACAGCGTCAAGGCAAATCGAGCACGACACAGGCGAAGCCTTGTCCACGCAATCGTCATCATCGAGAAGATCAGAATCTTCCAAACCCATTTCTAGAAAACCCTAACTTATATATAGAAACACATAAAACTCATCACAATTTTATGGGTTTGTTTTCAAATTTTTCTCCGATGAAGCTTCGAATATTTGGGGGGGATTGGGTTTGGAATATCGGAGAAACGAGAGCATATGGTCCGAAAATATATGGAAGAGCTGTGATTGGAGTTTTGTATTGGAATCGCTGAGCAGAGAGAAAGAGAGAGGAGAAAGAGATCGATCGATTCACGATGATGTGTTGTGTGGAGAAACTGATGAGAGAACCTCTTTCTTTCTTTCTCTCTCTACTTTTTCTCTCCTCACCGCCTTTTTTACGGCCGTCAGATTTGGGGAGTTGATTATTGTAATGACCTTTCAGTAACTGCTGTCCAAACGAAGATAAATATTTGATGGACGGTTTGGATTAACTGCGCCTTCTGTATATTTGGTTGAAATCTTAATGAATCAATGTCACCTCACGAGGAGGGATTGGGTGCGGGGATGTACACTGGTTTCAATTGAGGAGTCAGTTTTTACTGGCCATCAAAAAAGTGTGGGCCAGTTTTTAGCTTAAGACTGTTTTTAACGAGAAAAATGTTGTGCACCTTAAATAATGTGTCAAATTTTTTATCAAATCTTTTAGGGCAAATTACATATACGTCTCTCGAGGTTTAGTTAAATTACAAATACCCCTTTGAGGTTTCGGAAATTACATCCCGTTCCCTTAAGTTTGTATTTTCATAACAATTTGTCCCCCGAGGTTTATATTTCATAACAAATTACCCCCTAATTTCTTATGCAAATATAGCATTCAGGGAGGTATTTGTAATTTCTCAAATCTCAGGGGTATCTGTAATTTAGCCAAACCTCAAGGGGTATATGTAATTTGCCCTAATCTTTTTTATATGGATGTAGGATTTACAAAAATTTACAAGAATGTGAGTCCCATATGGATGTAAGAGATTTAATAAAAAATTTGATAAATTATTTAAAATCTCTAATGTCACTTAATAATAGAAAATGAAATATTTTCACCCTATGCAATCTAACTTTTTATCAACTTATATAAGTGATTTTATAAAAATATATAAATTAAATAAAAATTTGTGTAATCATTTAAGTTTTTATGAATTTATAAAAATTTATGTATTTTTATAAAATCACTTATATAAGTTTTAAAATATTATATAATTTTGTGTAAAGTTACATACAATATGGACTATACACCGAAATATTTTTCACGTTAAAATAGATATAAATAATAAAAAAAATTCAAAAAATTACTATAAATGAGTACTTATTCTATCTTTTTTTTTTTTTGAATATTTTTTGTAAAAGGTCAACGAATCAACTAAAATAATTGATTTTCAAAAAAAATCACAGTGTTTTTTTTTTCAAGACTGGAATTAATTTAATTTAGTTACTAAGATAAATATCTTGTGTAAATTAAATGTTTCGAGTATGATAGGTTTAGATTGGAATTAATTTAGTTTAAAAGATATACATAGAAAATTCTATTTTCACACATGTACTTACTTCTGTACATACACTGAATGAAATTTTATTTTAATGAAAATTGTGTCCTAAAACAAAATTACTATAATGGATATCAAAACACACGTACAATATTATACCAAAATTTTCTCCGTATACACATTTTTAAAATAAAAAAATCTCAATGCAGTGTGAACAGAAGAACAGAGAGACGAAGTCAACGCTGAAGATCAGATAGCAAGGCGACGGTAGTAATAAAGTGACGATCGCGTTTTTCTCTCTCTCTCTCTCTCTCTCTAAACTAAACAAAGGAAGTTGAAGGAAAAGACAAAGAGCGATGTTTTACATCATGAAATGCTACATCACAATGCTCGTCTGCTGGTACAAAAATAGCGATTGTTGAAAATATTTGCACATTAGACAAATATTGCTTTCTTCGTGCGAGATGGGTCGATCTTGACTTGCTTTCAAACCCAGATTTTTTTCCCCATCCCATGAAGAAGATATTGGTAATCGTAACAAAGATTTGATTTTTTTTTTTAATCTATATTAATGTAGATTCAATTGCATGCTCAAATGAAGATTAAAGAGTGGGCTGCAATTGTTATATATACATTGCGAGAAGAAGATTCAATCAGAGTATTCAAACTTTTCAATTCCTGAAAGTTGTTGCTCTTAAGAAAATAAAAGACAATGAAAAAAAAAATTAAAACGACATCGTTTTGGCATTATGGCAGGGAGGAAACTATGGTAGAGGAGACACAGGTTTAGATGGTGTGTGTACAAATGATATGAGTTAGGATATAATTAGATTATCAAGTGTGTGAAAAGAAAAAAATAATTAAAAATTAAATTAATAAATATGTATACTGAAAAATAATATATACTGAGATAAATATGCGTATAGAAATAGAATTTTTCAATGTGCATGTAAAGAAATAATAGCTGAATTACTTTTAATAAAATAATTCAAAGAAGAAAACACCTAAATGATGATACATAAATGGGGAAGTATCGCGGTGAAAGGATGTAAATACTCATGATCATTATCATACTCTTGTTCCATTTTCTTGATTATGCACATTTCATTACATTTGTCGCCCTTCACAAAGAGTGGTTTACATGGCCTACTCAACCTTACTCGATACATTTAGGTCTCGTTTGGAAAAAGCCTTTTTTAGTAATTTTTTGATTTTTTGGCTAAAATGTGATATAAAAAAAATTAGTATGTTTGAGATGACTTTTTTACTTTTTACGAAAAGATGTGCAAAAAGCATAGAGAAAAGAGAATCTTTGACTTTTTTATATAGGTTGTCTTTTTAATTTTTTTAGTAATTTTTTAACTTTTTGGCTAAAAAAATCACTTGCCAAACGAGGCCTTAATCATAGTTTGAGAAGATGAGTTGGGGTAGATTAGGGTTAGAATAGTTATAAAAATAAATAAATAAATAGATTTTTTAATTACAAGCTAAAAAATGTCACATTCAAATCATAATTATTTTATTTTTTTTCTTACAAAAGTAAAAAAAAATCAAAAAATTTATTCCAAATAAGACTTTTTAGCCCTAGACTTAAATAACTAAAAAGTCAAAAAGTTACCCTACATCCCAAACCAACCCTTAATCCATAAGATGAAACTGATTTGAGGCTTTTAGCCCATCTTTTTAGAAATAGAATTTTTCAATGTGCATGTAAAGAAATAATAGCTGAATTACTTTTAATAAAACAATTCAAAGAAGAAAACACCTAAATGATGATACATAAATGGGGAAGTATCGCGGTGAAATGATGTAAATACTCATGATCATTATCATACTCTTGTTCCATTTTCTTGATTATGCACATTTCATTACATTTGTCGCCCTTCACAAAGAGTGGGTTACATGGCCTACTCAACCTTACTCGATACATTTAGGCCTCATTTGGAAAAAGCCTTTTTTAGTAATTTTTTGATTTTTTGGTTAAAATATGATATAAAAAAAATTAGTATGTTTGAGATGACTTTTTTACTTTTTACGAAAAGATGTGCAAAAAGCATAGAGAAAAGAGAATCTTTGACTTTTTTATATAGGTTGTCTTTTTAATTTTTTTAGTAATTTTTTAACTTTTTGGCTAAAAAAATCACTTGCCAAACGAGGCCTTAATCATAGTTTGAGAAGATGAGTTGGGGTAGATTAGGGTTAGAATAGTTATAAAAATAAATAAATAAATAGATTTTTTTAATTACAAGCTAAAAAATGTCACATTCAAATCATAATTATTTTATTTTTTTTCTTACAAAAGTAAAAAAAAATCAAAAAATTTATTCCAAATAAGACTTTTTAGCCCTAGACTTAAATAACTAAAAAGTCAAAAAGTTACCCTACATCCCAAACCAACCCTTAATCCATAAGATGAAACTGATTTGAGGCTTTTAGCCCATCTTTTTTAACAAGGATAAAAAGTTTTTGCCTACATTGACCTAGCTCCATTCATTTATAAAATATTAATATTCATTTTATATTAGTTAGTGTGGAAGGTAAGAATTTTCTTCACAGGAAAAACGAGATGAAGTGCTTCTTCCTTTACTTTGTAAAGAGAAACCAATTCGTCAGTAATCACTCTCGACCATGAATGGTCAGGAGAATCCTTCGAAGATCAAGTCAGAATGCTGATCGGCCATACAGTATATGTTTTTTAAAGGAGTCTTAATTATCTCTGGTTTGCCTTCTTGCTTTTTATACTCCTCCTTTTATAGTGTTACTGTCTTGAGTCTCAACCGTTGGATTAACATCTGATCCGAGGGCTCTACTTGTTCTTGAACTTTAGTCGAGCAAGTGGCTATGTTGTCTTTATCCTTTACCGTTGGATCATCTTGATGTGGGCAGCTTAGATTATTTTAGATGTTAATGGCCAGCTTGCCAAATCCTTTGTCTGTTCGATTAAGATAATTAGACGGTTTGTTGTTTGGGTAGGCTAAGCGTACATCCTTATCTCTAACAATTGTAATCTTCACCGTTGATTAAGGATGAATCTAAGGGTTTCTTTACATTCTATAGATTTCTTTTTAGAATGAGATCTTACTTATGCTTTGGTCACATGATATTGTCCCTTTATCTAATGGACCTTTTGGTTATCTAGGCTTTTCCTTTGGGCCAACTTGCTTGGTTGAGCTTGGATTTGGACCAATATTTTATCCCTCTACAGTTAGTTACACAATAATTTAGATAATAAAATATTTTAAAAGTACTTTTTTAAGGGCCTAAATTAAAATGTTTATTTAAATACCATATTTATTTTACAATTTAAAATAGTCTAATAATATCCCTTTAAGACAATAATAATAATAACAACTTATATTTATTAGGTTAATGGACTGGCTTAACATTTATAAATTCTTTTAAAGTAGAATTTAAGATCATTAGATTATATCTGATGACGAATCAAGTCAGTCTTAAGATGACACATATATATTCTTACTAAGTCGGTCCCAAACCTGAATTGACCCAGTATTTATCCACTCTTACAAGTTACGTTCTATTGGCTATATAATTTGTAAAAGCGAATCATAATTCAACACGTGGCATGAAGAGGACAATTTGGGGAGTTAATACAAGTTATCAACCAAAGCCAGACACGTGGCAGTTCGTATTGGTAATAATGGATCTGCGTAACACTTAGAACAATCTAGAGATACAAGATGATGTGGCGTAACGGTTACTCATAAAGTTTAAATTCAAAATCAGGAGGGAAGCCTAACTGTAAGAGTGGCGTAGTGGGACTGACTATAAGAGAATATGTTCAGCAATCATGGGAGGGAATTTTCGACGGTTGGAAGCCCACTTCGACGGTTAACACTAAGACGTATA